TATGCGATTCGTAAATATGCGATAACAATACGCATAATCGATAGTTATCTACTATCTACCATTATAGATTTGGATATGCGAATCTTAAATTATGCGAACATATGTCGCATAATCCTAAATGATGCGTTTGATTGATCTGGCCTGGATATGCGATTGAAAACTATAAATTACTTCTATTTTTTTCATTACGCTATGCGAACACAATGTAAATTATCGCACTTTGTTCACAGTGATGCGAATAATAATTTCCCTTCGAGTATTATCGCTGATTTTGCTGGCAAAACTCTGTTGACAGATATTAATGGTTTCATTGTCCATGCAACATATTGTTTTGTTTTGACATATGAATCATGATTAAACACATACTTGACAGAAAAAAAAAATATTTATTATTGCTGCAGTCAGTCCAACATTTGCCACGGAAGCGGATCACGATTTTTTTCATAGGGTGAAATCCTTTCTATTTTTTTTTTTTTTTTGGCTGCGATGGAAATATATGGTTTTGAGAAGTGAAAGGTCGCTACTTCAACAAAGAGAATGAAAGGTTAATAAATACAGATAGCACTTAAAGGCTAGGTAGAGATATACATCAACTTGACAACTAAATGAGGAAGCATGCAAATCGTCATTGTTTTTTAGGTGTAAAAGCAGACAATCAATCAATGCGGTGCGTAACTTATGCGAACAATATGCGAAGCATTTTCGATTTAAATATGCGGTGCAGACAATCAATCAATACGGTGCATAACGTATGCGAATAATATGCAAAGCACTTTCAATTTTGATATGCGGTGCAGACAATCAATCAATTCGGTCCATATGGATATGCGAAGAAAATGGCGGATAGTCGTAAATTATACGGCTTTCGATTTGGATATACGATTCGTTAATTATGCGGTTGAAGACTAGGCGAATCATCCCAGTTGTGCGATTATTATGGGATATGATATGGGAATCGCACAATCAACCCAATTGTGCGATTATTATGTGACATGTTATGCGAATCGCGCAATCAACCCAGTTGCACTAATTTTTTTTAGTCAATCGTGTGCAGGTCACAACTTAGGGCACCAACACAGTATTTTTCCCGTTAAAAGTATTGTTTTCGTTAAATTGGTTTACAATTAAAAACTCCATCTTCATCTTAATTGTCATGGATTGGACGTGATGGACAAGATGACGATTTGTGACCTGTTTCTTTACATGTACAACATCTCCTCGGGCGTCTTGGATGAGGAGTTGGTGCGTTTTGACCTTCTTCATTTGAAAAAAGTCATTATCACCATCGTATAGAGGGCACTTCGCCCTGTTATGCCCGGTGACCCCGCACCGCGAGCACATCTGCTGACGCCGTACTCGAAGTGATGATCCTTCTCCAGCGGAATAACGTTGAGTCTGTGGCCGACCTGCTTGTTTGGGATCATTTGGTGGAATTACCTTTTTTACACATAATTTTCGGGGGCAAGTGCCATTCATCTGGATGCGGGACGGGGCTAACGGTGCTTTGGTACATCCTTGCAACTGAGTAGGTTTTGTAATGGTCATCAACGAAATCCATTATATCTAACCCGGCTTCCCTGTTTTATATCGTAAATGCACATCATATTTATAGCAATTTTTTTTTAAAGAAAAAAGCGATAATGTTGTTTGGTAAACATTACCGAATAGTCGTAGATGCATGTAAGCAAGGTAGTAGATCTGTTTCAAACACACGACAATCACATGTTCTTGCCTCTAAATCTACCACGTAGGATCGTGTTTCTTCCATAACCCTATAACGTTGCATGCCGAGTGCGGTAATGGATAGAGTACGACCTTTCTCGAACAAAGGATCCAACCGCAATTGAGTCCACTGCGTTAGCGGATAATTGCGACCCTCGGCGCAAGCACGCTGACTAGCAAACCATTTCTCTATCGTTGCTCGAACACACTCCAACAGCGAGCAAACGGGTAACATCCTGGCCCAACGGAGTTTGTTGTTCAAACTTTCACATGAATTGGATGTCATGAATCTATAGTGTCGTACAGGTGTAAAACACCTCGCCCAAGAATTTACCGGAATTTCATTAGTTAGCTTTTTAAATGCTTCGAGTTTTATGCTTTGGATGGATGACAAGTAACGATAGAAGTTTTCACGCCGATAACAATATGCCGCCTTGTAAAATATGCCCAAGATAGATTTCCAAAAAGGCCTCATTTGTTTTGTGATGTGATAATAGCAAAATGAATGATGCGCCTCGGGGAACACTATTGGGACAGAATATATGATAGACTCATGTCTATCCGATACGATGAGGAGGTTATCAGGACAACCGTAGGCCCTTTTCAATTGAGTCAAAAACCAACTCCAAGTCTCACGACGCTCTACATCACCAATGCCAACTGCGAGGGGAAAGATTTGGTGATTCCCGTCCAATGTGGCTGCAACAAACATAATGCCCTTGTATTTTCCTTTCAAGTGGGTATCATCTATCACAATTACCGGGACACCAGCTCGTTGAAAGCCCTCAATGCTAGCTCCTAGAGCAAAGAACAAGTGTTGGAATACCTCACCATCTCGTTGCAGTTCGACAATTGTACCTGGATTACGAACCTGCAACATGTGCAAGTAACCGGGAAGCCACCCCCATGATTCTTCATGACCTCCATAAACTTTTTCAAAAGCACGGTGTCTTGCTCGGAGGTACACATTGTAGCTGATCGACAAACCATGCTCCTCCTGCATTTGTTCAATAATTCTCCGTGTAGATACCGTCTGGGGATTTGTCTGAATAGTTGATGCGTAAATATGAGTGAGAACCTTGGAATTAGCCGAACGGTGTCGATTGTGCGTCAAACTCGTTTCGCATGTATGCTCGACTTTCAAAGTAGTGATTCTCCATACATCTCCGTTTGCCCTTGCACATAACTTGTAAGAACACCCTTCATACCGACAAACAGATTTTAACCTAGAAGTGCAGGATTTGGGTGTTCGACACTCAACTTTTTGTTGCAAGTGATACAGTTGAATGGCACAAATCAACTCTTCTTTCGAAAGAAAGACAGACCCCAAAGATAATTCTATATTGTTCGAGGGTAAGTGTATGGGTTGTCTATCTGATCCAGTTGTCGTGAGCGGCATAGAAAGGGACCACATTCTTGGCTCAACGTCGGATTGCCGGGTGCTACCTCGATTCATATATGCAAGACTTTCAACCTCAATATGGTCGGTGATTAATCTTAGCTCTTCAATATGCTCGCTATACCACGCCCTGAAAAGCTTGAAAATTTGCTTCTCATGTACCTCTTTGTCTTCGTCGCCTGAGTCACCATTGTGCGTGTTGGTTTGGTCCTCATTATTGTCATCGTCACTAGAATGACCTGGTTGGTTCGAACAACCCGCGGTTTGATCATCAGCGCCCCGAGGATATTCAGTATGTGTAAATGAACTAGGGCCTGCTTGATGTGAATATGGGGCCTCGTGCGAAAATGCAGAACTACCAACACCAAAAGAACTCAGAAATACACCTTGAGACGCCATCATTTGCGTGAAGCTTTGTTGCGCCGTCCCCAGAACACCTACATTTACTCGCTTCTCCAACTCCACGTAAATGTTGGGAGTTTTTTGTTCTTCAATCAGCTCTAAGATATCCTCACTGGATTCGATTTTCATCTTCACTTTTCGTTCCCTTCCATCAAATACTGCTCACAATATGTACTCAAAATTACAAGGATCAGCCTTCAATAATGCTTGAACACGAGAAACTACTTCAGAATACATTTGTCGACCGTAATTTATTCTCATTACCTCTGCCACTCCACCAAGACATGAACCCCCGGAAAACGTACCACCATAGCTCACGCATACTCTAACACGGGTGCTAGCCATTCAAATAAGTGAACAACAAAAGGAATTAAAACGAAAGAAACAAAAAATTGCAGTAGAGAAGAATGGTGCAGACATTGAATTGTTAGAGATCACTATTTTTTTGCCTGCATGATAAATGCACAGACAAAATCTTCACCTGTGAAAAAGCAGTCAATTAATGAGGTGCGTAACTTATGCGACAAATATGCGATCAAATCCCGAATAGTCGTAAAATTTCCATGACGATATGGCCCAGCAAAAAAATGGTGCGTAATCGTCAATTAAATTATGCTTTATTCGATTTTGTTATGCGATTCTTCAATATGCGAGCGAAAAAATGTCGCATCATTGTCAATTATCCGGTGGATATATGCGAAAGTTTTCGCATACTAGTAAATTATGCAATTGACTTGGATATGCAATTTCCAGAAAATGCGAATTCAACAAATAATGCGAATTATATGCGAAAAGTTTTCGCACAGTCATAAATTTGCAAGGTTGATATAGTCCTGCGAAATAAGGCGCATAATCATCGTAAATTATGCTGCATTCGATTTTGATATGCGATTCTTAAAACTGCGAAAGATGTTCGCATATTTATAAATTATGCGTTTGATGTGGATATGCGATTACAAAAATACGAAATATTTTCGCATAGTCATAAATTATGCGTCCGCTTGGATATTCGCTGGTTCATTTGGACATGCGACTGTAATATCGCATAGTATTTCGTGAATTTTGGAGTGTAAAAGAAGTTATTTGATGAAACGGTGTGTAAAAGAAAGAATAGATTTATAACGAAGTGAAAAAGATTTTGACCCATAAAATTTTATAAGAGATGGGCAGTTTCGTTTGTTGAAAAAAAAAAATCTATTTGAGGCCCATTAAAAATGTTTGGGGAGAAGGCCCAGCCCACAATATCCCCGTGGCTACTTGTGCCCAAAGTCACCTCTGCCACTCTCGCGAACCTTCCCGGTCACTCCTTATCTCGATCCTCATTCCATCAGCTACTGGTACCTTCTACACACTCCCACTCCACCTCACTATAAATAAATACCATTTTAACCCACTCTCGCAGCAAGCACTTGCAATTAGCAAAAAAACCCTCACTGCCACCCTTTTCTTCCTTTTACCCTATAAGCTAAAGCCATCTATGGCGTCTTCTCTCGCTCTGAAGAGGCTGGTCGCCTCTAACCTCCTCTCAAGGTCAGCGGTGGCTCGTCCGGCAGCCTCTCGCCTCTTCAACACAAATGCTGTCCGCGAGTACGACGGCGACGACCGCGACCTCGATGTCGAACGCCGCCCAGAGCGTCGTATTTTCTCCCCCTTCTCAGGTAGTTGTTGGAATATTGCTTCTGTTCCTGCTCTGTTTTTCGATATTTGGGTTTCCGTGGTAACCTTTCCTTGAATTTCTGTATTCAGACATGTTGGGTCCATTTGCCACAAGAAGCAGCCTGAGCCAAATCCTGAACATGATGGACCAAATCATGGAATCGCCTAGTGCCGCCCGCAGGAACTGGGATGCTCGGGAGACTGCAGATGGGCTTCATCTGCGCATGGACATGCCTGGGCTGGGGAAGGAGGACATCAAGGTGTCGGTGGAGCAGAACACTATGACCATTAGAGGCGAGGGGAAGAAGGAATTTGAAGATGAAGAAGATGGCGGAAGGAGGTACAGCAGCAGGATAGATCTACCGGAGAGGCTGTACAAGACTAGTGAGATCAAGGCTGAGATGAAGAACGGTGTTCTCAAGGTGTTTGTGCCAAAGATTAAGCAGGAGGAGAGGACCGATGTTTTCCATGTCAATGTTGACTGAGTTCAGTTAGAAAATGGGGATTGTGATGTGTGTTCTATGTTTTAAGCATCGTTTTGTAGTATGTTTCTGTTTTTAAATTAAAACTGATGATCGTTTTTCTGCTGTGATTGGATCTAATTTTCTTTGGATTTGAAATAGATTTGTGGGTCGGAATGTTTAGCATAGTAACTCCACAAATTTCCAAATGACACCGTTTATTTGGTGGAACCTTACCCTATTTCTTGAGTACGTTGAGCTGCTCCTGTTTAGGAGTGCACATAAGATCTATCTATACTATTATAAAAGTGTCAATGAATCTGTAAAAATATGATATTCCTAAATTACCCTTATTTTGTCAAATAATTTGGTAATTTAATACTATTAATACAATCGACTAATCCTAATTTCTGAACACACCGAATTAATCTGCCCCAAATACGAATTATTTGCCCCAACAAACTCCGGAATCGCCAAATCCTTCACAACCAAATCCTTCACAACGCCACATCCGTAGTCGAAGAAGCCGACGATCGAGTATCGTCTTTCTCTCAAAAAATTGGCCAGGGATTGAAGAAGATAAAGGGATCGAAAATTCACCAATCTCCTGGTAAGTGTTTTTCTCGACTTCACGGATAAATCTCGGAGAACCTTACTATATCGCCAGTGAATTACCGACGCGATCTCCGCCGATCGATAGCCAAATCCTTCACGCGACCTCCGTCAATCGACCCGTCAGTCGATATTCAGGCAATAAGCCGGGCATATAGGCAGGCCGAGAAGGAGCGGCTCTCAGAACTGGTGTTCACATCTTCCTCAGGTAAATTTCTATATTACAAAAGCTACTCTTTTTTTTAAAAAAAAAAAAAATTAATATTTTGTGTGGTGGGTGGCAGATGACTATGTATTGGTTGAGAAATTATGCTTTCAGAAGTACAAGTTCTAGAGGGACGACACTGTAGTTTTTCGGTAATTTTTGCCTCTCATGGTGTAAATTTTAACAGAGATTTTTGGCTAATTCATATATATACTTATTTGTTGTTTATTTTATTGAGTTGCAATTTTTTTTGCTCGCAATTTAGCTGCCATTTTCTGCTTTAGAGCTTCTTTGTATGTTTTGAAGGTTAAGTGCTGATTAATTTGCTAGACTGAGCGAGGGGAATATTGGTGCTTTTGAATTATTTGGTTATAAATGATAATTTTAGTTGTTTGTATATGTCTGAATGAAGAATTAATCTGTTTTCAAGAAATAATATTATGTATAAGGGACTCTCAGTCCATGCTTTGAGCAATTCAAAATCTCTGAGTTTTAAACTTTGGTAGATATTTATATTAATTGTGCAGAGAAATATTTCAGATTAATTGTGCAGAGAATTTAAATTTGTGATTGGTTTTGAAATTTTTTTCGAAAGTGATTGGTTTTGATTATTCGTGCATAATGTCTTCCTAGGCTGCAAAACTTCTATCTTTTGGTCAATCAACGTTTCCCCTTAATTTTTTAGTTTGAGATTTTTGTTTGGTCTGATGTTTATTTATAGGCTTCGGTGGTCTTTTGGCTGCATTTTCAGTCATGATATTTTTGTAAAAAAATATAATTTGTTGTATGGTTTGTGTATATTTATTAGTTTCCGTTGGATATGTGCTTGATGATTGATAATTTTAACTTGGTCATAATTCCGAAAGCATCTTTCTGTATGGTTTTTTTTTTTCATATAATCAGTTCATGTGAAGTAGCTGATCCTTTGTCTATTTTTGAATTTGAAGGATTAGGAGATTGATTGACTACTCTTGACCGTGATTCACAGCAAGTTTTGAAAGGCCGTAGATTGATGGCACAATCTTTATTCTTTGTTTCTTGAACCTGAGAGGTTCACTTTACGAAATGGATATACCTTTGTTTCTTGTTTATTAAGCAAGTTTTGCAAGGCTCCCAAATATGAGTTTGATCATGTAGATGTACTTATTTGCTATCATTACCGATTGTTGTTTGTCCAGTGTGAATCACAACAACTTTGTAAACCTTATAAGGTTATTGTGGGGAAGGGGAGATCACCAAAATGCCATGAATTGTAGTTACGTGAAACATTACGAATTCGTTGCCAAAAAAACTTATAAGCCTTTATGTGGCATAGAGTGATTAGTTTTGCAATAACCGTTTCTCACTTTAAGATAGTTTGAGCAAATAGTCAAACTGAAATTCGGGTGGCATTAGTTGAATATGCTTTACTGAATTCGTTTTCTTCTTTTCACTTCATGTTTATTTGAATTTACTTTTCCTAATTCAATTTTTATGCTAGATTTTATATTAGCGTTTGCTATGGGTTTGTAGTTTTTCATATTCAATCGAAAACTTTCATTCAAAGAACTTATTTATGCTCAAAATCATGGATAAATTATATAAAAAAATATTGATATTCTTTAATAAGTATGTAGAAAGGGCAAACTCAAATTGATTATGGGGAAGATAAACCAACAAAATTATGTTTATTTGTTTTTTAGACACTTTAATGTAAAGTAGAACTAAACTCATTCTTAAAGATAAGAAGAAAGTGCACCTACAAATGTGGTGCCTTTGAGATGAGAACCCTTTTGGTCAATACCAAACATAAGTTTCGAACTTTTTTTAATCGTCTCTACACACATCTTTTAATACAGTTTTTAAGTTAAAATTTAATTATTACTACACATATATCTATAAATTTATTATTCGTCATTCACTAACTACTACTCCTTCCTATTCAAAATAAATGTCGTTTTGAGATGTTGCACAATAATTAAGAATATTTTTATTGTCGATAATAACCCTATTTAATGAAGATAGAGATGAATGTTTTACGAGAAAATGAAGAGTGAATATGAAAAAACGTAGTGTATTTATTGACTCAATGAGGGTAATAATAGGAAAAACATGTACAAAAGACCCAAAATGACATTTATTTAGTTAATAGTTGATAAAGCCAAAATGACATTTAAAATGAATAGGAGGTAGTAATTATTATTTAGTTATCTTATCATCACACGACAAGAAAAATATTATTCTTTACATTGCATCTAAAAATTGCACTAAAATAAATTATGCCCAATCTCGCACTTTATCATACTCGCATTAACGATTTTTTACACACATCATCCAAGTATCAAACTTTTGGACATTAAATACCTGCCAAATTGGATGAAAAGTGAATTTGTATTTCCCAATCTATGTTTCTAAAGGATAATTCAATCATAATAATTATTCTTACTTCTCTGACTGTTTTTGGATTTTCTTCTTCTTTTTTAACTTTAGTTAGCCATTTGCACTTAAAAAATAATTATTAACCTCTATTAATTAGATATGTTGTGAAATAGAGGAAAGAAAATATATACTCTTTGTTTGTGGTGAGAAGAATGAAACTTTGGTCGATATTTATATACGAATCCATAATCCGCTGCCTTTGAATATGTTAAATCGTGCTAAAGCAGTGTCCTGTTTTTCGCCTTTAATGCACATTTTTTTTTTGGATGTTAATGGATAGAAAAGGTTATTAGAAGCATAAAAAACTGTGTTCCTGGTCATAGTATTCTTGTAATTGGAACCACAAAATTTCGACAAGATTTATATTTACCTTCCTTTCTATTTTGTTTTCAGTTCTCTTGCTAATTTTAAATTTTATTTATTTTTAATTAAATTTATTGTTCTTTGGCAAAATGATTTAGTTTTTAAAGGATCTTGTCAAGTTGTGGCATGAGTGGAAGATCATCCACATTTTTATTTTATTTTTGGTACAGAAGATCATCCACATTTGATTTGTCAACAGGTAATTAACATATATATAATTATATATACATATAGCATTACTCATTTTTCTTTTCTCAAAATGATACATATTATTATAAATCAAAAGCGCACAAATGTGCGAATACAAGCAGCTCCTAGCTGAATGAGAGCAGCCAACAACTGAAAAGTTGGAGGACATGTCAGAAGACCGTCTAGGATCCCGACTAGCAACGCTAAAATAAAAACTCGCAAATAAACTATCCAACTACTCGAACAACTAAAACAATTAAAAAAGACCCAATTAATATGCATTTTTTTCATCTATTATATCATATAATAATTTAACTAATTAAAAATTCATCTTAAATTATGTATGCAAGTTATACACCATAAAGAAATTAATAACACATTTTCATTATACTATTTATTTTAAATGAATATATCTTTTTTTTAACATTTTTGTTCATTTGTATCACAGTGAAGGATGTTTATCGTCGTTAAAATGCGGCTAAGATGAAAGAAGATACAACGATTTAGATGCTTATTAGAAGCAAGTGTATTGTGCTAAAAAATAAACATCGCAAGGGCCAAAATACGAGTGTTGCATGTCTTGATACCGATGAAGTTTCAATCATCTAGAATAAAATATATACATATTTTTGTAAGATCTAAATGAGTACTATATGTTTCTTTTATAGTTCAAGAATTTGTTGTTTTTAGTGTTTTCTATATTTTTATATTAGGTTGTCGTAATGCATTTAAGTAATCCATATTTCATGCTGTTAGAGATGAAATGGTGCCAATACTTTACTTTTGTACAAAGAAAAATATAAATGATGTCTTTGTTGTATATTTGTCATTAGGTTTGTTGATTCACCCATAAATATAACTTTAAAAATACCCTTAATAAAAAAATGAGTGTCCATCATTTTATGAAAAATATATTAACATTTTATTGTTTTATATTGTACTTAATGTGGTTTTCTAGAGATATATTATTATTAGTACTCTATTATTATTGTACATAGAAAAAATAAATTAGGCATTCCATTCATTTATGTGATTTAATAAATAATTGGTGTTTGTCATTTTCTAGGTTCAATTATTAAATGGAATGTATGTTTAACGATACATGAGTCAAAAAAATGCCCAATTGCATACATTATGGTGCAATGAAATTTCAGTACGAGTGTCCAACATTTTGTTGTGATAATGGAAAAGTCAAACTTCCTCCTATTGAAGTGTCTGATGAATTATATGAATTGTT